CAACTTGAACCAAAAGTGGCGCTACGATCCCGGCACCAAGCAGCTCAAGCACCTCACGCACGCGAGTTTCTGCCTCGACATGGGCTCGGAGTCCGGTACACGCGCCCATCTCTACTGGTGCGACGCTGGCAACGGTCTGCAGCGCTTTGATTCTTCCAGTGCATTTCTCTAGTTTGCTGTCGAATCTCGTATAAGACCATGATTCTATCTGCTTTGGAGGTGAACTCCCTTCCTTCTTCAAGCAGTCGCGGTGGACGCGACAAGTGCTGTCAACGGCGCTGGACGCCTGTCAAGCTAACTAAATTCAGTCTCTAAAATGTGCACTTGAGAAATCGGCAAACCAATCACAAGGTCTCGGCGCCACTAAATGTGGCTAAATGCGACTATAATCGGTATCTGCCACTTGTAAATTAGATTCAACATTAATGGCTGCTGTGGGCCTCGAACGTCGACGATAGATAGTATGCCTTGCTCCTGAGAGCTTGCTCTTTCACTGTGCGAAGTTTGAGCGATGTCATTTTTCGACGCGGTTGAGCCGGCCGAGCGCTTTGGCGCAGGCCAGGGCGGCCGAAGCGGTACAGGATTGGTCGATCTTTTTTTAGCTGGCCAATCCTATTCACGTGAATATCCGGTTACGCAGCCAAAATCGAATTGGCGGCTTGTGGAAAGGCCAACCAACTCCCAGTGAGAGTTGCGAGAGGGCAACCTTGCGATGCTACCCGACGGGATGAAGCCGAGGGCGTCCTGTTCCGACGTCGCCACACTCGGACACGCTTGCTTTCGCATTCGCCAAGGCTACCCCTCATGACGACGCGGCTGCATTGGACTGTCGCGCAACGAGGCGTCTCTTCGCGTCGCATCTGATCTATCTGGTCGTCGTCGTCCGACAGCCTCGCGCATTGGTGTGGCTGCATCACTCTACCATTTGCCATGACCACGTTCGTACTTGGCGCGCTTGCTCTCGCCACAGCTCTGTCGTCTGCCTCGCCCAATGACGCGCTTCGGGACGAGCTATCTGCGTGGAAGGCCAGCGACGCCGGTGTCTACGCGGCTGCCAACGGTCTTCTCCGCGAGCACCTCGATGGCGCGAGCGAGGACGCAGAGCTCGCTGTCTTTGCCGCCAACAAGGCCGCGGCCGCCGCGCTTCAAAAGGCGCACCCGCTCGCCGAGTTCTCGGTCGACACGCCGTTTGCGCTGCTGACGAGCGACGAGTTTGCCTCGTACATCGCGACAGCACCGCCTGCGCGCAATACATCGACGCTGCCCGAGTCGTCGAAGGGCATCTCGGTCGCAACCGGCAGCGTCGATTGGCGGACGTCGGGCTGCGTCACGCCGGCCAAGAGCCAAGGCGGCTGCGGCTCGTGCTTCGCGTTCTCTGCCGTGGCGGCGACGGAGAGTGCGTACTGCCTCGCCCACCACCGCCGACGCACGCTCTTCTCCGAGCAGCAGACGCTGAGTTGCGGTCCCGGCGACGGCTGCAAAGGCGGCTTTGAGTTTGAGTCGCTCAGGTGGATCGCGTCCAACGGCCTCTGCACGAGCGAGACGTACCCGTACACGAACGGTCAGAGCGCGACGGCGCATCAGTGCCAAGCGACGTGCCAGAAGCTGCCGATGCCATTTCTGGACGTGCCACTTCTCCGCGGCGAAGACACGCTCGAGAAGGCGCTCAACACGCAGCCCGTCGCCGTCGCCGTCGCCGCGGGCAACAGCGCGTGGCAGCTGTACAAGCGCGGCATCTTGACGGGCGGGTGCGACGGCACCATTGACCATGCCGTGCTCGCGGTCGGGTACGGCGCCGCCGAGTCGCCGTTCTTTGTCATCAAAAACTCGTGGGGCAACCGGTGGGGTGAGTTCGGCTTCATGCGGCTCCTGCGCGGCGTCGGCGGCACCGGGTTGTGCCACATTGCCGAAGACATTTCATATCCCGTGCTCCGCAAGCCGCAGTTCTACCTCGTCAC